CTAGCTTGATAAAGCTTGGATCTTTGGACTCAAGGGACCTCCTTTAGTCCAGATCTGACGTCTCAACTTCATGTCATGCTCAAATGACTCAATACCCAAAAGATGGATGGGAGAAAGCCCTAAAACTCACTAGAAAGAGATCTAACAAAAGAAATGATCAAGGTGGTAGGTTTTTACCTCCAAACAGAAGATAGAACCGAAAAAATCTTGATCCAAAAGCCTCTTCTCGTTCCAAGCCTTGATGCTCTTCACTTCCCTTCCAATTGTCCGCTAGAACACTCAAGGTTAGCTTCTCTTTCTCTCACAAACGAATACACTCGATTATGGTTTCTCACAGAGTAGAAGGGTGATAAGGGAGGCGGAAATGAAGGTTTAAGGTCCTTTAAATAGGACACAAACCCTGAAAATTAGGGTTTTCTCATTCAGCACCTACTCGTCGAGTGGGGGTCCGCCGACTCGTCGAGTAGACTCTAAGAATCCTGCGGCTATCTCAAACTCTACTCGACGAGTTGTGGCCTCCAACTCGTCAAGTTCCCTTTTCAAAATGAATATAAAATAATTAAATAATATACCTAGGACTCGGGATGTTACAATTCTCCCTCACTAGAATCAGACTTCGCCCTCGAAGTCATCCTATGGAAACAACTCTGGGTACTGCTCCCGCATCTCGGACTCCGGCTCCCAAGTCCACTCGGATCCCTTCCGATGTTGCCACTGAACCTGAACCAAAGGCACCTCTTTGTTCCTCAAGACCTTCACCTTCCTATTCAAGATTGCTACCGGCTTCTCAATGTAATTCAGGCGCTCATCAACCTGAATGTCCTCTAAGGGGACCACCGCCATCTCATCTGCTACACACTTCCTTAGTTGAGACACATGGAAGGTGTTATGAATCTGACTCAACTCCGCAGGCGGCTCCAACCGATAAGATACCTTACCCACTCGTGCGATCACTCTGAAAGGAACGATGTATCTAGGGCCCAGCTTACCCCGCTTCCTGAATCGGATCACCCCTTTTCATAGGGATACCTTCAGGAGGTGAAACTCCAGCTCTGAACGGCGCCAGTCGGCGTAACTCTTCTGACGACTCTGGGCCGTTAGTAACATCTGTCTGACCTGCTGGATCTGCTCTGTCGTTTTGAGCACTATCTCAGTGCTCCCCATCACTCTCTGCCCTACCTCTCCCCAACAGATGGGAGTCTGACACCTCCTCCCATACAAGAGCTCAAAGGGAGGCATACCAATACTGGAATGATGGTTGTTGTTGTATGAGAACTCAGCCAAGGGCAAGTGTGTCTCCCAACTTCCGCCGAAGTCCATAACACAAGCACGTAGCATGTCCTCGAGCATCTGAATCGTCCGCTCGCTCTGCCCGTCGGTATGTGGGTGGTAAGCGGCGCTGAAATGCAACCGGGTGCCCAACTCCTCATGAAATTTCTTCCAGAATCTGGAAGTAAAACGCACATCCCGATCTGATACTATCGATGTTGGCACCCCATGCTGTGCCACCACATCTCTCACATAAATCTCGGCCAACTTCTCCGCTGAATATCTTTCACTGATAGCCAGAAAGTGAGCACTCTTCGTCAACCGATCCACAATCACCCATATCGCATCGACACCTCGTGCGGTCCTCGGTAATTTGGTGATAAAATCCATGGAAATCTGTTCCCACTTCTGCTGGGGAACCTCTAAAGGCTGCAATAGGCCATGTGGACGTTGGTGCTCCGCCTTGACCTGGCGACAGGTCAAACATCTCTCGACTACCCATGCCACACCCCTCTTCATACAGGGCCACCAATAATACATTTTCAAGTCCAAATACATCTTGGTGGCTCCCGGATGGATCGAGAATCTCGACCGATGGGCCTCCTCCATCAAAATGCACTGATCTCCACCTGTATGCGACACCCAGATCCGCCCATGATAGGTCATAAGCCCACGATTATCGGTCTCAAACTCAGAAATCTTCCCAATCACCCGCTCTCTCTTACGATTCTCTGGTCTCACGGCCTCCATCTGGGCCTCTCATATGGTATCCAAGACTGGAGTCATCTCCGTCATCTTCATGCACACGTCTCGGATCGGAGCACTCACTGCTCGGCGACTCAGGGCGTCGGCTACCACATTAGCCTTGCCAGGGTGATACAAAATCTCACAGTCGTAGTCTTTCACTACATCCAACCATCTCCTCTGTCTCATATTCAGGTTCGGCTGATCTATAAGGTACTTCAGGCTCTTATGGTCCATATATATGGTACACCGAACACCATACCGATAGTGGTGCCAAATCTTGCGGGCGAACACCACCGCCCCCAACTCCAAATCATGAATGGGATACCTCGTCTCATGAGGCTTCAACTGCCTCGATGCATATGCAATCACGTGTCCCATCTGCATCAACACGACACTCATCCCAAATATAGATGCATCACAGTAAACTACGAAGTCCTCCACTCCCTCAGGAAGGGCTAAGACTGGAGCTTCACACAGTCTCTGGCGAAGAGTCTCGAACAAGGCCTGCTGCTCGGGCCCCAAGCAAAAGTAACACCCTTCCTGGTCAATCTGGTAAGAGGAACGACAATCTTGGAGAAATCCCTGATAAATCTCCGGTAGTAACCTGCCAGGCCAGGAAAACTCATGATCTCGTATGGGGACCTCGGCACCTCCCATCGCATAACTGCCTTAATCTTGGCCGGGTCGACCAAAATCCCATTCTGGTTAACGAGATGCCCTAAGAACTGGACCTCTCGTAACCAGAAATCATACTTGGAGAATTTGGCATAAAGCCTCTCCATCCTCAACACTCCAAGAATCTCCCTTAGATGCTCCTCGTGCTACTCTCTGGACCTCGAGTATACCAAGATGTCATCAATGAACACGATCACCGACCTGTCCAACATGGGCCTGCACACCCGGTTCATGAGATCCATGAATGCTGCCGGTGTGTTGGTGAGCCCGAAAGGCATCACCACAAACTCGTAGTGCCCATAACGAGTCCTAAAGGCCGTCTTCTGGATATCCTCCTCGTAAACTCTCATCTGATGATATCCATATCTCAAGTAAATCTTGGAAAACCAAGACGCCCCCTACAACTGATCGAATAAATCGTCGATCCTCGGTAGTGGATAACGGTTCTTGACCGTTAACTTGTTCAACTCCCGGTAGTGGATGCACATCCGGTGTGAACCATCCTTTTTCTTGAAAAAAAGGATCGGCGCTCCCCACGGTGAGCTACTCGGCCTAATAAAACCCTTACCCAACAACTCCTGAAGCTGCGAGGATAACTCCTGCATCTCGGGCGGCGCAAGGCGATAAGTTGCCTTGGCAATAGGCGCTGCACCCTGAACGAAATCAATCCGGAACTCCACCTGCCTCTCGGGAGGCACACCCGGTAACTCCTCGGGAAAAATGTCACAACTTGAAATTTTCAAGTCTAGAAACCAAGCCAAAAGAGTCTCGTATATGTAATAATTGTAGCTATGCTATTGTTATGCGTTGGTAATGTAAATTTTTGAGAATTATGTTACCCTAGAACTCTCATGAGCTATGAAATTTAATGGAATGTTGAACTTACGTCAAATATGAACCACATAAACAATAAAGCCAACATATTAAGAGTTTCCTATACACTAGACCATAAACACTTCCCTAGGAAACACCTTGACCGTGAACTACCCCTTTTAGTGATTATGTTGGCCGTGAACAACTTCCAAGGAAGCATTTTGGCCGTGAACCACCCTAAGCCACTAGCCTAGGCCATGAACACCATTTGAGGAAGGAAACCTTAACCATAAACACCATTCTAGGCACCTTTAGACCGTAAACCACCCTTAGTGGACTCCTTTTTGGCCGTAAAACCCTTAGGGGATTCCTTTTTGAGCGTAAACCATTGTGAAAACCCATTTAGACCGTGAACCCTTTTAATTTCAAGGGTGTTTACGACAATTGTGAGCTGTTAATTGGTTATTTCCAATGCAAATCTCAGTAAACTATGTATTACCCAACAGTAAACCAAGCAAGTATCAAATCAATTCCTTATCCCATATGAAGGAGCATAAACCCCCTTTCCTCATTCTACAACTTCATTCCACCTTCTGTGAACTCTTCCAAGAACACAAGAATTAGCTCCAAGATCCATTATTTCACAATTCCTCCTAGTTTTTGGTAAGTAATTCATGCCTAGTAAATGGTTCATACATTTAGCTATTATGATTCTTCTACTCACACATGGATTTATGTGTTCACAACCTTATGGTAGCAAAACCCTCAAGAAGTTCATCCAACACTTCAAACGTTCTAGGCCCTAATTTCTCACCTCATCTCTTCACCCACACATTCTCCTACCCAAGGTGAGCTTAATACCCCTATCTTTTGAGTTTTCATTGTTTTTGGGGGAGGATACAAGTCAAGGGTCTTGTGAAATCTTAGTATATTCGCTTGTTTATGCATGCATGTTATGATTTGTGTGCTTAAGATTACGAAATTCCACATGAATGATTCAAGAAATCGAGATTTTGAACAAGTCTCAAGAGTTTGAACCATATATCACAAACTATGTGTTAGAAACAAAAACTAGTATGTTTATGGAATATAAATCACAAATTGTTATGAAAAGAACCATAAGGATTGCTTCAAAATTTGCTTAGACAAATTGTTGGACAAAATATTTTGGAAGTGGTTAAATTATGGAAATAATGATATTTTGGGTGACCACTTTCGGACTTATATATATATATATATATATATATATATATATATATATATATATAGAGAGAGAGAGAGAGAGAGAGAGATAGGTTCATTTGTTTAAACTAAGTATTGTGTTATTGTATGCATAAATGTGGGCCAATCAAAATTTAAAATAAAAATAATTAAATAAATAAATAAATAAGGGGTAAATAGGTAATTTGATAATTAGTTTCCACAAATAATAGCCTATAATTATGGTAACCATTGACTTAGCTACCTAGATTTTTTCATCCCTTTTTAAAACCACAATGACGATCTTTTTTTCATTCTTCACTTATCAAATTCGATCGACACATCCCAAAATCGCAAGATCAGCCTGTGTATCCATCAGACCTTCACCTACCACCTCCTCCGAACTCGTTTGTCCCATTTGTAACGGTGGGTTCCTAGAGGAATACGAAAACCCTAACCCTAGGCCGGAAACCCCAAATCCTTTTCTCGCCTTCGAAGATCCTTCGCCTTTCTCCTCTTTCTCATCTGGCTTCCCGCTCGTTTTCTCCACCACTTTCCGTGCCGGCGCTGGGAGTGGCGATTTCCAGAATCCCAATGATCTATCGGCACTCTTTGGTGGTCCGATGTCTCGACCTGGTGGTGTCCAGAATGCTGGAGAGTTTAATCCTTTTGCATTTCTACAGAATTATCTCAACACCTTACGAGCAGGTGGGGCGAACATCCAGTTTGTTATTGAAAACAACACAGATGGAGATCCGTCGGGGTTTCGTCTCCCATCGAATCTCGGTGATTACTTCATTGCTCCTGGGTTAGAACAATTGATTCAACAGCTTGCCGAAAACGATCCTAATCGATATGGCACTCCCCCTGCATCAAAATCAGCCATCGAAAACCTTCCTAATATGAAGATCACGAAAAAGTTGTTGGAGTCAGATTACTCCGATTGTGCAGTTTGTAAAGATAGTTTTGAACTTGATGAGGAAGCGAAACAGTTGCCATGTAAGCACATGTACCATCAGGATTGCATTTTGCCTTGGTTGGAGCTGCATAACTCCTGTCCTGTTTGTCGGTATGAGTTACCTACGGACGATCCAAATTATGAGAATAGGTCTCGCCAAGCTTCTAACGGTGGTGGTTCATTAGGTGTTGCAGCGTCCGGTGGTTTTGAAATTAATTCATATTGGTTTATACCTAACCTTTTAAAGTGTTGAAATTTTAAGATGTATATCATATTCTTCATGTTTGACAGGGAAGGGAAGGGAAAGCAATTTTTTGGCTAATATACATATCAGAATGAACAGTTTTTTGGCTGCATTCTATGGACTGATTCATATTTCAATTTATGTTTTTTTTCTTGATTTAACACTTCATTTATGTGGACAGTGCAGGATCTTGACAAGGTTGAATTCTGAAAAGGTATCAAGTATGTTTATGTAGATGATTCAATGGATGATGTTGGTGAGATTCCAATTCTATTGGAATGGAATCAAGAATTCCAATTCTGTTGGAATGGAATGACGAATTCCAATTCTGTTGGAATCACAGAAGTTGATGCTTGAAGAACGGACCACAAAATTGAAACGGACCACATTATTCTTTTAGAATGTATTAGTCGTTGTTAGATTGCGATGTTTTCTTTCCCGTTTTGATTGTTTTTTTAGTTTTATTCTTTAACAATAAATGTAATTATTAACAATTGTTACCCGTATTCTATAAGAAATAATGTATTTGTTGTTTTTATTCTTCAATTGATTGTTCAAGAATTTGTTATTCTACAAGAAGTTTTTAAATTCATGATAAAGAAATAGGTTCAAGAATATTTTTATTATTTATGGTTCAAGAATATTTTTATTTTTGAATATACTCATAAACATATTCTGTCAGAATGTCGGAATTAAAAGAATTATAATTCGTAAAATCGGATTTTTAAAATTAATAGAATCTATGATCCCTTAAAAAAATGCAATTTTCCTTTATTAAATCTATATTCATTGACTAAATTACCCTTGTAATTAATTATGATGATTTTTTCAATTATATTTACTTCAATAATATATATTAATCAGTTTCTTAAAATAAGTAAATTTGATTGGCCTACATTTATGAATACAATAACACAATAATTACTTTAAACAAAATAACCTAAGCCTATATATATATATATATATATATATATATATATATATATATATATATATATATATATATATATATATATATATATATATATATATATAAGGATCATTTTGGAACATGAGATAAGTTTGAGTAATTATTGAACATATCAATTTCTAAAGGACCAAAAATGGAATTTTGGATAAACAAGGGCCTTTTTGAACATTCTCTTAAATATAAGTCTAAAATGAGCATTTTAGAAGAAATGGGCCATTTTCAACAATTCACATAGATTTGAACCACTTATGACATCTTTTGACAACTATGGGTCTTATTTGATAAATTATAAAAAGAAGGGCCATTTTTGCCAATATCGATAATACCGGGTCATTTATGACTAATATGATTCGAAGTGATTATTTTCAGCAAACGAAAACGTTATATCTAGTCAACGAGTACAACTATTGTTATTTATTTAATAAATAATGGATTTCGATGATTTGCACAAAATATGTTAGTATCCTAGTCAGACGCATCTTCACTGTATATATATATATATATATATATATATATATATATATATATATATATATATATATATATATATATTAGTGTACGTTTAAAGTCCTGTAAGAGTTATAACCAGAGTCTCCTGGAGGGAGAGCGGGAATTTGTGTATAGATCTATACGGGGTTGACACCCCGCACCTTCGTTGTTCGCTACAGCTAGACCGTTCAGTCTAGGGTGACAAATGTCTTAATCGAATCCGGCGCCTGAAGAACGTCTAGATAGGCACTCCGTCATATTAGTATGGTTATAATGACTCACTTAGAATATAACAATATGATTTTAGAAATTTACGCAAGTTACACCTTTCGATTATAAACAACTATTGTTTGGATACATAAAACGAAGCTTTTATCACACCAGTCTTAGGGTTTACGACCACTATTTTTTACATCAGAAAATATAGGATTTTCTGGAGAAAACGATTTTATACGATTTCGAAAACGATAAACTAAAACACACATGCAACTATACTTGATTGGAAACAAGACTTACAACTATTTTGACAAGAAAATATCGGATTTTCTAGTTTTCTAACTATCACAAATTTTTATACAAAATGCTTATGAACTCACCAACATATTTTATGTTGACGCTTTTCAAACGACTTGTATTTTCAGGAAATCAGTAAGCAGGTTAGTGGAATGCGGATGCAGAGTTATTTTGATGTAATTTGGAAATTTACTTACTATTGTCTCTTTTGTGTGTAATTTGAGAACAAATACATGATGTAAAACAATGTAAGTTCGTTATCTTCATGTACGATGTTTGGATTTGCGATGTTTCATTTATATTCAATTGTTATGATACTGCACAATGACGTCACCCGCCTCCGGACGTTTCCGCCGTTCTGGTTCGGGGGTGTGACAGATTGGTATCAGAGCATTGTTTATACTGAACTAGTATATCTAGCCATACAAGATATACAACTATAAATACAATGAGACTAAAATACTCTAACTAAAAGTATACATACTTACTAGAACCGTATCATAACAAGAACAAAACAAAAGGACTTAAAGGTTGAACACTACAGTCAAACCTGGACAGTTATGTAATCATACCTGAGATAAATATAGTCTGATCAACTATATTTATTTGAGATATGACCAACCTGTGTTCGGGAGTGGTAGTGGTGTTGCAACAAGTCTAAAACTTCCCAAATCGTTATCCAAAAGTTTTAAGAACCAAACCTAAACGATTAAAAATACTATAGGAGTATTTTGTCGCTTCAAAAATTTTCTACGCTCTTCTTTCACCCTTATTCCCGTACAGACGATATGGCAGGATTTCATTTGCCAGGCGATCCCTACTTCCCTAATCAGGGAAATGGAGGGTGGATGAAACATCCCAAAAATACAGTCTGAAAATTTCGTTTTAAATCAGTAATAAAACCATAGTCATCATACGTCATAGAAAAATCAAAACAATGTATCTCAGAATAATATAACAACTATCATGTATATCAGAGTATAAACATCCCAGGCTGAACAAATGGTGTGTGCACTGCAATCTTCCCGAGCTCCTCTTTTGAAAACTGAGTACCTGAAACCAAAACTGAAAACTGTAAGCACGAAGCTAAGTGAGTCTCCCCAAACTACCACATACCATACAATAACACATACTGGGCCTTGCCCACTTCATCGGGCCCCGCCCACTGCATCGGGCCCCGTCCGGCATCGGACCGAAGTCCGGAATAACTTGGGCCCCGCCCGGCATCGGACCGAAGTCCGGAATAACTTGGGCCCCGCCTACTGCATCGGACCGAAGTCCGGAATGTACTGAACATAACAAAACATAAACATGTAACATAATAATATATATTGCATCGGGCTTGCCCGACATCGGACTGAAGCCCGGAACATATAACACATAACACAAACATGCATGAATCACAAAGACATCAAGCATACATAACTCATTCTCGGGATTTCCCCTGCATCAGACCGAAGTCCGGAACACATAAGATATAACATGTAAACTAAATCACTGCATCGGGCCCCGCCCGACATCGGACCGAAGTCCGGAAACATACAATCTGCATCGGGCTAACCCCGGTATCCTACACTACTAAACGGGTCGGCATTGGTGCTGGATGACAGATTCCCGAAGTCCGAAGTCCCGCTGACCAAACCATAGCTGCTGGATGACAGATTCCCGATATGTCAATATCAAAATAACACCCAATTAATAATTGGGTTCCAACTCATAACCATAAGTCCATACTTGGGTAAAAGACTACTTTACCCCTATCTTAGCTTGACTCAAGCCCAAGGCCCAATCTAAAGGCCCAAAAGTCTAATAATGGACCAAAGCCCAACTATGGCCCAATTTTCTAAATTGGGCCCAACCTCCACATGGTCTTGCCTTAAGGCCCAATAATTCATTATTGGTCCAACACTTGACATTCTCATGGTCCAACATCTCGTAATCATCAATGCCCAAACTATGGCCTTTTTATGGACTAATTTTCTAAATTGGGCCCAAACCCTCATATGGGCCTTACCCTAAAGCCCATCTAAATATTCTAGTCCATATAATCATTCTTGGATGGCCCATTATTTGGCCCAATTACTAAAACCCAATAGAAAGGCCTAACTTAAGGCCCAAGTGAAATTGGGGTTTCACATTAAATGACGATTAGGGTTAAGTGTTTCTTACTTAACCCCTTAAGGACTTAATCCATTAAGTCCTTTACTCTACTAGATAAATGATATGGAGTGATTGGTCTTAATACACAATTCCATTCCAATGGCCCAAATGTGGGCCCAATAAGTCCAAGGCCCAAATACTCACAATTAGGGTTTTCTAAACCCTAATTAGGGTTTCCACCCAAACATGGCCCAATAGGCCCAAAATTAATCTTTAATCCCATTAGGGTTTTGCTAGGTCCATTAGGGTTTGCTTGTGGGGCACCACCCACTACCACCTCGGGTAGTGGTGGTCAATGGCGGCTCACGGCGGCGGCCACCACCTTACGGTGGTGGTTATTATTATCTTTTTCATTACTCAATGCTAATTACAGTTACAAAGCTTTAATCCAAGATAACACACACAACTACTTTAATACACACACACACAGCCCCCTAGTGGTAGCCGGTGGTGGCTCGTGGTGGCGGTGGCTTTTCTGTGAATCCCCACTAAACAAAACACACATACAACCTCATAACAACCGGAAACAACAATAACACATGAACACACACCCATAAATACACCCACAGCCACCTCACGGTGGTGGCGGCGGCGTAGCGGCGTTAATAGCAACAGCCACCATGGCCAGCCGCCATGGTGGTGCTTCTCAGTTGTCGGCCAAGAACCCAGCACACAATAGATCTGGAAACGGCCTCCCGCCAAGTGGCGCACGATGAGCGGCAGCGGCAACGACCTTGGCAGTCGGCGACGGATACTACAACAGTGGGAGAAGGCGGCAGTTGGACAGAAGGTGGCGGCTGGTGTAGGCGTCGGAACCGCAACAACGAAACACCGGGACAACATCCCTTGCCCGTCGTCGCCGGCAACAGAATAGTAG